TGGCGCCAAATGGCGCCAAATGGCGCCAAATGATACCAGCATCAAAAATGAATGTCATATTTGTAATCAGGGCATCGAATTACCCCAATAGACAAAGTTTCGACGAGAAGTGAAACTTTGAGATTTTGGGGCAGTAATCGTGGGATATTCGGCAATAGGGGAAGGCTGAAAACGGTGAAAACCCAAAGTTTCAACTGGGGGAAGTAATGCATATCATTTGATAGCATTTTTCACGGAGAAGCTAACGGGGCACATTTCAGGTCTGCGAGTTCATCTGGAAATGCAAAAAATCTAAACTTTCCACAAGGGCATGACGAGGAGCCATGTTTGGCGCCTAAGATCTAAGAATTCGGAAAATAACATTCATCTAATCTCACAATGTAGTGGATGAGATTGAGTACGTGGCGCATTCTGGGGTAAGTTTTGAGGCCTTCTCTGTGTGTAGCGGTTAGCCCGCATAAGCGGGATTATATACACATCACATGCGAGCAACTACTTTTTGAGATGAAAATCGAGTGCATGGCGCAATCCTATATGGAGCTTTTCCAAAGTATCAAAGCACATTCTTATAGTGTCCGACGAGCTGAATTCAAAGATATCTTCGGATTCTCGAAAGCTCAATTTTGAACCGAGTTATAACGAATTCACGAAATTAACGAGGATTCGCGTTATTCGCGTGAATTTTCGATTTCAAACGGCGAGTACTGTATCTAATAATAAGTGAAACTGTAAAACACCAGCCCATTGGCAGTGGTTTTATTTGAGAGTTGAACACTGTGAGCGTTTTCTTCCTAACAACTGAGAAGCACATCCCACGGGTTAGCAACGGCATCACACGGATGTGCATGTGGGGAAGTTTCCACACTTTCACACTTTCTCTAATGGATGCTCTAACATATGCCCCAATGGGGGGCCAAAAAAGAATCCCAGTCAAGACAGAATTAGTTACACTGTGACGACTCCTTCCGAATGAGCCCAACTGAATATTCAAAGAGCACATTCTAATCTATCAAAAAATTACATAACAGCCTTCTACACCGACGACATCAGAAGATTTTCCCACGGAAACATGGTTCACGGTACGAGCTCAACGAGGTCGTCGAGGTACCATAGACCATTACGACGTCTCTGAAACGCTGGTCAAAAGCGGTCTTGCATAGTCACAGCTAGTGTCTCTAGAAGCTATTCACCAGTTAACCGATTGAAGAAATTATGTAGCAGCTTCAGGCTGGAGCGATTACGGTAAGCCTCTTGAGCTCGACGGTGACGGCAGATGACGTCATATTCTGAAGACGGTGGGCAGTGAAGGAGGGCCTGCTTCTGCTTATGGGGGACACCTAAGGAATATTCTGCCGTAAAACTTTCATCAACAACGGCACCCTGTGCGACGAAAAGTTTGATGATGTGCGCCATGGGCAAAGTGTCTTTTTTGCCCCCCCCCCCTATGGGTGTATAGGTTATCGCACCCAACAGAGAAAGTTTGAAAA